TGGTTGGGTCTTTAGTGTAGGAAAAACGGGGGTGTTGAGGTGGCAACATGAGAGACTAGAAAGGGTATATATTGAGGAGAGAGATTCAATGAAGGAGAAGGCACGGTTGGAGTAATGGAGAAAGAAAAGGGCATATCATGTATCCATCTTTGTTTTGATATATACTAATATTTTCTTATATCCCCTATAAAATGATAATTTTAATGGAATTATTATAGATAAAACATGATGTCAAGTGCTAATACAGATAGAAATAATACTAATTTACTTGGGTCCTCTTTCAATAAAAAAATTACTCGGGTCCTCTTCTCCAAAGATTACAAATTTTCTTAATTGCTTTCATATAATTTCAGCTCTTTTCATATTAATTCAGTAAAATTTGAAAAAAAAAAGTTGAAAAAAGAGTTTGCAATAGTCGGCGTAAAGTGGATCACAATAGACTCATGACTCCCAAGTCTTCAAGAAAAAAATGAAGCTTATTAGGTATGAGCCTATGAGGACAGAGAAACAGTATACCAGTCTGGGCCCCCACAACTGCAAAACAGAAATATTTATTTTATTTTCATAAACACCTAAAAAAATAAATGAATAAAATGACATATAAAAATAAAACAATTAATATTTAATTTTCCCTTGGTCTCTTCAGCTTGGTTCGAGTGAGAGTGTGGTCATCACTTATCAGCCCAACCAGCCAATCTACCCCGTGCCATGTTCACATCTGTGCCCCCTGTGGTGTATTAGGAACATCTATCGATGATAGTACCAGAATTGATGATGTCATCATTGGGAGATGTTTCTAATGTACGGTGGGAATGTACTGTAGGACGTTGTGGGGCCCTCTCGCCAGTTTAGCTGAATTTAGCCTATGGGTTGTGGCTTTAAATATTTCGTGATGTACATTTACACGACTTGTCGATGCACACAAACAACAATAAACAAAAGAGAAAGTCATCCACTTAATCTGAAATACATTCTTTATAGCCAGCTAATTGCAGCTAACTATAAATGTCATCATGTGGATAAAGATTTAGATGAAAGAGAGAAATGTAGGGAAACTTGTGGGATTGGTCATCCAATCCATTTTATTAGGGTAAATTGTTGAAACTTCCCCTAAAGTTTTGGACTGTTATTAAAATTTGTTTAAGTTTGGTCATTACAATCACCTCCCCAGAACTTTATAATATGGTAGCAGGTAGATTCTCTCTGTTAGAATCCTTTAAAAAGAGGGATGAAAATGTCCAAAATACAGATGTAGTTACTAGTGAAGCTGATTTCTATCGAAAAGAAAAATAAAACCAATACAAACTTTATGAAAATAACAAAAAGGAGAATTTAAAACTGCAGCTTTATTTGATATGAAGGATAAATTTGAAAAATAAATCAATATCAGAAAAGAGATCCAAAGGGTTTGGGGTAATGATTCATATGTAGAGAAAACTTGGAAAATAAATATTTCGGTCAAAGTAATTGCATGGGTATTTTGGATATTTTCATGCGTTTTTATAGGAAGAATTCTAATTGAAGGATCTACTTGCAACTATGTCAAATAATTGAAGGGAGGTGATTGCAATTACCAAACTTCAAAGGACGTTTCAGCAATTTACCTTTATTAATAAGTTGAGATTGGGAAACCAATGAAAGATAAAGAGAAAGAAAGAAGACATTCCGTGGATAGAATTTTGCACTCCAGAAACTTCTTTTGTGGAAAAAAGTCTTGCTTGTGAGGGTAGCTAGAAAGTCTAACTTGAGATTCAAGATTTTATTTTGTTTTTTTAATTTTTCCTGAAACAAACTCAAGACTAAAAGAGTACACAGTGCCTTGTGTTTGGATCGACAAAGTTTATTTTTCCCGTATATGTTTTAGTTTTATTCAAGTTCAAAGTACGACACGTATCGGCCGATATGTATCATTCTGGGACCCCTACGATATGCCCCTACAGTGGGTGTATCGGGGGTCTGACCGGTTCAGGGTGTGGAGGAGGCCTAAATCATCTCCCCTGAACCGGTTGCAAAAAAATAAAAAAATAAAAAAAGAGAACCAAAAGCTGTATTGATTCGCTGAATACGCCCATACCGACGTATTGGACATATCGATATTTTGAACCTTCTTTTACTTGCTTTATGTTTTACAGTTTGCTGGGGAAGTCCGCCTAACCTAACTATAATAGTTCTCTTTTCACTAGTATTTTGAAAGAATTCTGGCCGGTCTGGTTTTCAACCCTAGATTGAAGCCATATTTGACGATGGAAATTTTGTATTGCTAAGATGGATGGGGTTGGCCAGTTCGGATCGAGTCTGGATCACCTGCCAGCAAATAACTTTCCAACACCCTACCAACATCATCTTAAACCATACATCTCATGCAAGATAGGTGCCACTTTTATAGTGGGCCCCAATTTTATAATGAGATGTGTGGTGTTAGATTAAGTTGGTAGGGAGTTGGGACATGTTTTGTTGGCAGGATATCCTAACTCGTTCGGATCAGATAGGTATAATGTTAATTGTAAGCACTTAGAAAATTTTTTAATACATATCCTTTAAAATATCCCCAGCTTACTGCTGACCCTGAGAAAGATTAAAAATCTCTTTTGTCAGAATATGAGATCAAATCGACCTCCACAAGATTGTCCCCCACAACGTCCCACAGTACATCCTTACCGTGTATTGAGAACATCACCCGATAATGACATCATTATTTTTGATACTATCATCGGGAGATGTTTCCAATACACATCGGGGATGTACTGTGGGATGTTGTGGGGGAAATCTTCTGCGGGCTGATTTGAATTCTCAGAGTATTTATCAAGTGATCATTGAATATGACAAATCAGTATTTCTTATGATCTCGAGCAGATATTGTGGGGAACTCTCTTGTTGAGATTTTTTCTTTTGGGGGCAGATGTTCGTATTTTCAAAATTACGTATCATTTTCAATGGGTTCCTGAATTTTCTCTCCCGGTTGAATTTTTTTTTTTGAGATTTTTCTCTTTTCTTTGATTTCTTTTAATTGTCTTTTAATTGTTATGTAATGACCAAAATGCCTTCACTCCTTTCAATTCCTTTGGCATTCCACAATCTGGAAAAGTATTATTTCATTTTTACATTTTTAATCGTTCAAGTCATAATTCAATTAGTCTAATAATCCAAATAAAATGGCAAAATTGACCTCATTCACTCATATTTTCAATCCAGGTCAATATAGAAAAATAGGCTTTTGTGAAATACATGTACCTCCGCCATGTGCTCAGTGGTATTTTACTATGTTATGCTTGATCGGCTGTTTTGTTATGTGACTTGGACTTTTTTTAGCTAATTGTTGTTTTTATGACTGTAGTTTTCAACCTTGGACGTTTTTCTAGCTAATTCTTGAGTATTTGACTTAGAAAATTATAGGAAAGGATGTTAATGGTTAATAAAACTTCAAAGGGTAAAAATATTCTATGACTTTTTTAGCTAATCCTTTTTAGTCTTGTATTGGATTGCATTGAATGTTTGGGTTTGGAGCAAGGCAACCTATACCTTTTCCTGTAATTTTTTTCTTCCTTTTCATAATGTTTAATAAAAGGGATAATAGCATATAAGGGCAACTTTTGGGCCCTAATATGAGTAAAGGTAATATTTTTAAAAAAATTACAAAAATAGAATAACTTTTGAAAAATAATATCAATGAAGGGCAGAATCACTGTTCATCTTCTTCCTTTTGCAGTATTCACCGGCACCACCGCTCACCACCTCCGCCTCCGCCTCTGGTAATGTTGCTGGAGGTGGGTAGAGACAGAGGTGGCGGCGGCACTGGTGGGTGGAGGTGGCGGCGTTGGGCAGAAAAAAAAAAAAAACCACCAATACCGCCGCCGTCTATGCCCACCTCCGACAACGTTGCCGAAAGCAGCAGCGCTGGTGAATAGATTGCAAGAGGAAGAAGATGAACAATGACTCTACCCTTTATTGATATTATTTTTCAAAAGTTATCCTATTTTTTAAATTTTTTAAAAATATTACTTTTGCTGATATTAGGGCCAAAAAATTGCCCTTATATGCTATTCTCCCTTAATAAAATTTCAAAAAAAAAAGTCAAAAAGTTTGAGGTTAAGAAAGAAATCTTGATGACTATATTTTGAGCATTTGTAAATGAAAACTGCCTTTTCTAACTTTAAAGTCTATAGTCTCTTAGACAAAAATAGACTTTTAAAATTCCAGCCGCCCAACCGGACCCCATCTGGTTCCCCTAGGCAGTTGCAGACTTGAACAGAGAATTGGACCAATGGACTAATCCAATCAAGTTTCAAACAGATCCAGTGCCAGAATAATCTGACCCACCAGATGGTCCCTTCTCAGTAGGTTTCTCTTAAAAATTTTCCTGCTTCAGTGTGTGTGCCTGTACCTTTTAAGAGAAGACAACATCATAAAACGGAGCACCATAACTGAATCCAAATGCAGCCAATTGTAGTTTACTATTGGATTATTAATGATAAACATTTCAAACTATAGCAACTTAGCATTGAACCAGATCTACCTCCATACGAGATTATGATTTTATTAGAACAAAAAAGTATGAGATCCCACAATTAAGTATTGGTTTCTCGATCGAAAACATGGTTTTGATTAATGCATTTGGTATTTGCAGCATATTAATAATTCATATTTGTGTCAGAACCGTCTTCAGTCTTCACATTATCCCAATAGTTTATTACGCCAGAGGCCAGACGTAGCATATACACCAAGTCCTTTACTATTTAAATATTTGATTTGTTGTTTTAACGAAATCTGACCACAAATCCCAATAGTTTCAAGGCAGAATGCCGTCTTAAACGGAAAAATTATAACCAGCGTCAAGCACAGTCTTTGTTGATATTGAATGTGGAATCAGAGAGAGGTTTGTTTATTAAACTCTTGTTTGCTTGATGAGAAAGCTTTATAAGCTCAGTAATTCCCAAAAGTGATATCATTGCTTAAAAAGCTGTAAATGTGAAGAATTTGGTCCAAATTAATAAATTAGGGACTAGAAGAGTGTAACTGTTAATCCAAAGGAGCACCATTATTCTCAATGAAACAATATGAATCAAGCATCTCATTTTCTCCCACAGAGGTTTGAAACGATGGAAAATTCTGACTAAGAAGCTCTTAATACATACCAAAATTAATTTATACTCCCTAGTCTCTCTATAGTCTATACAGTAACAATCCTTGATCGAACAAAGTAAAACAATAGAAACCAATCAATCAACGCACCACAATGAACTGTACATATTAGCCTCTGTGTTCTGGGTGATAGTATTGGAATCCATCCCCTGAGGAAGAAGGCATCTGTTTTCCTCTTCATCTCCCTGAAATCTGAGAATTAACAGATAACACAAGCATTCGGATTCTCTTCTGCACTATGGGCATAGTAATGGGTCGTCATGCAGGGATTATAAGCCTGGTATGCCTTGACAAGGTTCTGGATCTGCTGCTCGACTGTTTCTTTCTTTGGCTCTTCTTTCTTGGGTTCCTCTTTTTTGGCTTCTTCCTTCTTCTCAGGCTCTTTTGCAGGCCCAACAGAGACTATATCCGCATACGAAAGTTTGCGCAGTTTACTTACAATTTGTACAGGGTCGACGTCTCCGACCACTGTCAATTTATTCTCCTTCATGTCCACAGAGATGGAATCGATTCCTACACATTCATCAAGAAGAAAATCAACAGTTAGGAAGACAGATTTATTTGTCCTTTTTTTTCCCTCCAGAACTGGGTTTTCTTTCTTCTGTAACTAATAGTGAGCAAAAACTTGATACCTTGAAGGGTAGAGACTGCCTTCATGGCCTTCTGCTTGGCTTTGTCGTCATGTAAATTCAACTTCAACACCACTTTCTGCAAGGAAAGAGCACAGAGAATCAAGTAAGGTTACTCTAAAAATTGAAACAGCATAAAATCCAACAAGAACGAATATTCAAATAATCAATTTTGATCTTCTAAAACTGATCAACTTAGTTCGGAAAGACTCCCCGGCCCAAAAGTTCAAAAGATTCGGAGAAATCATTCCCCCAACAAAAGTAGTCTGAGCTTTTCAAAACAAATCACAACCAACAAAGCATCGAAAAATCTTCAAAAATAATCCCCCTTTCCCCCAAAAGGCCAACTGAACCCAGAAACAGGGAGGAAATGGAAAGTCCATCAAAACTCAACAAATTCTTCAAGAAACAAGCCCTATAAGAGTTTCGTGAATCTAACAACCCCTCAAACAGAACGACCCATATCACAGAAAAATGTCAGACCAAAGAAAATTGGTGTTTCAAAGCAAACAATCAGACTGAGAAACTGGAGTAAATTGTGACGAAAGAGAGAAAACCCACCTTCATTTCTTCGGATTTTCAGTGAACTGACCAAGAATTGAGACGGTAATCGTTGATCAAGTCTGTAAGAAAGAATATTAAACACAGAGATAACGAAAGCAAAGACTGAAAGAACAAAATAAGAAGAGGAAGAAGAAAATATCTAGAAGTAGTGGAAGGCTTAGAGAAGAATTCGGTCAACAAAGATGTATGGAAGGAAGAAAGAGATACAGCCAACTGCACCTCGCACTCGGGCAGTTTCTAAGAAGACACGGAAGGTTATATACGCAAAAGGTCGTACAAAACGGAAGCAGTGAAGAAGCTCTCTCTCACCCCCTCTTTTATGGTGACGTCTCTGGCGGCCGGTCTTCTAGTCGAGGAGGAGTCCTTATTCACTGTTGCATGCATATTTCTATAAAGCCATCTAGTTAGATCATAGCCATTAAATAAGTACACGTCACCATTTTACAAAATATCGGATTGTGGCTGATATTTAAATTGAGAGGGAAGAGTCGAAAGGAAAGGAGAATGGACCCTACGTTTGGGTCCCATCTGTGGAGATTTAACTTTTTCCGTGGATATATATAACGAAGTTATGATAGCCATTAGATTGGTTTGGTATCACCGTATTAGTGGGACCATTGCATATAAAGAAAGAACAACCGTGTGGGGTCTGTAGTATATGGACTAGGGGCGTTCTATCTCTTCTAAGACGACTTCACAAATTCACGACGACACCCACCGCCCGTTGAATTGGTCTGGTCTCTCGATGAGACCTGCGAGAAGAAGAAGACCAAGCATAGCGTCACCAGTGGCTGATTCAGACCAATATGGCCAAGTATGGCTTCGTGGCAAGATTAGAACCTCACATATCGAAGTATGCTGTTTCTAAGGCCCCGTTTATTTTCACTTACCTGGGCAAGTGCTTCTTTAGGTATTTTTTTTTCTGAATAATTTTGGTTTGCACGTTTTTGTGTGATACATGATGTAGCGCGATCTAACTGCTCCCTACTGGAGGTGACTTGGCTTCCAGTCAAACGACGGACTAGGTTGATCTGCAAGAGGAGGATCAAAGAACCTGGGATTGTTAACCCGGCGAGGTTGCTCCGATGTTTAAGTTAGTAGACCGTTGCGAGCTAAAAAGCTTAAAAGTGTAGAGAGCTAAAGAGCAAAGTAATCACGCGTACCTTGAGCCACCGGGGGAGGAGCCTTTATAAAGTCGAGTCCTCGCGGGTTTCGCAGATCAGTTCCGGGATCTTCGTCACGATGAGATTCGTTTCCGCATTAATTGAGGGATAACGTTGTCAACTGATAAGGCTTATCAATTCTACTCGAATCGGGCGGGGAGGAGATAATGCTAGCTGTTACGCGGCGTGATCCCGTGAGGTTCGGAATCCATTGGAGGGATTTCCGGGATTACCACGTAGTGTTCTGAAGTCGATATCCCCGAGCTGATGCTTTTAAGTTCCAAACTGAGTTGAATGCCGAAGTGCCTTGGGATCAAAGTGATCCTGTTGCGATTTGGTACCGAAGTGATTTCGTCCCGAGGTAACCTTGTCTCGAGGTCACCTCATCCCAAGGTGGTTGAATATCCGAGCTCGATCTATTGCGGACTGGTCGCGTTAGGCTGAGTTGTCATCTCTTGGTCAGGTCATGTCCACGTGTAACCTCTTTATTAGGTCGGGCCAAATTACCCTTCATCAATTGCCCCCCACTCCCCGAGCCAGGGATCCTGACCCGGTGCGGGGAGTTCATGACAAGTCCAAGTGGATTTGGCCCGAGGTCCAGGCGGCTTATTGGGCGGATCGCTAGTCAGACCTGTTCGGCTACCCGACTCAACCAGGAATAACCCAGGTCGCATCTGGTTTACGCGCAGACGTCATGCGATCTATAAACTCCGCGGACGTCAGAAAACGCGCTAAACCGATTTCAACCTCGAAGGTCACGCAACCGGTTTTCCTAGGAGCCGTTGGATTGCTTCGATCTCGACTGTTGATTTTCGGACATAGTGGCTATAAATAGGGGACCCGAGACTCATTTGCTTTGCCACAAATTCGCTAGCCTTCGATCTAAGGTCGCGTTCAAGTTTCTTAGCTCGGTTCTTCCAGTTCGGTGTCTTCTTTCAGTTCGGTCTCTTCTTGGTGAGTCTTCCCTATCTCTCCTTTTTGATTCAGTTGTCATTTCTATGTCTAGTTTTAGCTTCGATAGTCTATTAGATGAAAGCGGTGATTCCATTGGGGCCGAGGTGGGTACCTCAGCTCAGGTCGTAGATCGTCACACCGAAGAAGCTACTTCAGGTCAAGAAGCAGTCAGCGGTCCTCCTGAGGTGGAATCACCCCAGGAGGCACGAGAGGCCTCAGGTGGTTTGGCGTCCACCTCGCACCAAGGTCGGCAGCCAGACAACTTTGGCCCGTCGATGATGACAGCGGACCGACTCCAGACCTTAGTAGCTTGGTATAGGCTTCCGAGCAACCTTGTATATAGTCTTCCGCTAGGTAACTTTCCCTGGGAGCATGGTCACGACGAGGTCGTGATCTTCGAGGAGCAGCTCGCAGCTGGTCTTCGTCTTCCACTTCACCCCCTGATCGTAGAAGTTATAAAACTTTTTAACATCACCATAGATCAGTTGCATCCGAACTCCATTCGCAACGTAGTAGGAACCATCTCGATCTTCCATGACTATAACCTGCCCCTTGACCTCGACATCTTCTCTTCCATCCTTTCAATAAAGAAGAATGCCTCCTATGTCCTACCCGAGCACAGGCGGACTTATTACCTATCTCCTCGTTCGGGCTATAAACTTTTACACGAGCTCACAAACAAGGTCCCGACCTGGAAAAGGGGCTACTTCGTGGTCCATAATACTGAGGGATGGCCCTTCCCGACCCACTAGAGGGTGGCCATTCAGGATCCCGATGTCAGACTGGACCTGAAGACAAGGGAAACGCTCCGATCTTGGGCGGAGCTCGGTCTCAAGTTCACGGACTACGTGACCGAAGACAAGCTCATGCAGGCCGGTCTGAGTCCTGGAAGGTTGTCACTTTTTGTGTTGCCTTTGTTTTATTTCGATATTGTTTCTAACGTTTTGATTTTGTTACAACAACCATGAAACTCCCTGCGAACGAACTCCTTAGTAGGATGAAGGGGAAGAAGAAGCGAGCTGCCAAAAGAGCTCGCATTGAGTCTCCGTAGGCTACCGTCCCTGATCCCGAGCAGCCCCCCGCTGCACAACCTTCAGTGATCGATCTGGTCGAGGAGGAACCAAGAAAGGTCTCCCTGCCCCACGTGCCCGAGGAGGCAACATCTTCGGAGTCCGCCCTTGCATTTGCCGCTTCTTCGGGCAACGAGGAGGCAGTTCGGAGCATCCTGACCCCGAAGTACAGCCTTCTCAAGAGAAAGAGCGTGGTATACGCCGAGGAGGTCGCTAACTAGGCCGAGTTGTTGGTCGCTCAGCTCGGAGCTCGAGCGGCTACCCATTGTATGGTGGTAAATTCTGTCTTGACTTCTTCAATTTTGCACTTGAAACTTTTCTTGTATTAACTGTTGTTCTTCTCTTGGCAGGTGAACTCTGTTGTACACGCTCTGATGTACCAGTCCGAATTGCACCTGAAGCGAGCTCTTGCAGCTAAGTCCTCATCTCGCGAGGCTCACACCGAGCTAAACCTGGCCCGCAATGAAAATAACCAGTTGAAGAAAGATGCGCAGTCTCAAAAAGAGTTGATTACACTGGTGATGTCTGAGAAGGAGGAGCTCACGGGGCAAAAGGCGGCGCTGAAGCGGGAGGTAGAGAATCTCGAGGCCCTCGTGAAGGAGCGAACTGAGATACTCCTTCAGGCAGTGGAGGAGGCCAAGACCAAAGCCGTCGAGGAATATAAGACCTCGAAAGAGTTCCATGGAGAGCTGATCGAGGCGGGAACGGAAGGCTATCGCAAGGGCTTCAAGCTCATTAGGTGGCTGACCCGGCGTGAATTCCCTCAGCTCGACCTGAGTGCCACCACTACTTCGAGTGTCACAGATGAAATGGTTGTCGAAGTTGCCGAAGATCCAGACTCCGAGGCAGAAAGTGACAGTGAGCTGCTCAGTGACTTCGGAGAGACCGGTGCTAACAAGAGTATGGACCCTCCTGCTGAGGCCTTGAATAAGGGCGAAGAGCGCCAAGACGAATAGACTTATCTTCTATATTGTATACCACGGGCCTCCGAGCTCGATCTATAATGATTTTTTTTTTTTTTGTAACGAACTCTTATATTAATGAAATACACTTTTGACTTATCTTTTTGTTCAAAAATGTTCTAAGTGCAAATAACTCCTGAACTAGCGAACTAACCAAGTAGGAGAAGATGTGTATGTTACCCCGAATGTCGAGCTACCGAGCTGGACAACAAGTAAGGATAACCGAAAACAGAATTTTCCCAAGTGGAGGTTACCTCGAACTGTCGAGCTACCGAGCTGGACTACTAGCAGGGGTAACTTCGCATAATGTACATCGAGGTGAGCGGACATTGTAGGGTATACACCCGACTTGTCTGCGCACGGGCTACTCAGATGTCGGTTGTCCCTTAGAGCTAGTGGGCCCAACCTATTATTATATGTCGAACTGGGCTAGACATCGTAGGGTTTATACCCAAACTGTCTACGCCCTAGGCATTAGGGGTAGTTTGCCTATGCCGAAGAGGCGACTAGGACTTGTCTGCCTGTGCCAAAGAGGCGACTAGGACTTGTCTGCCCATGCTGAAGAGAGGATTGGGATTTGTCTGCCCATGCCAAAGAGGCGACTGGGACTTATCGTAGTGCTGAGATCTTATGTCAGCTCGGCATCATGGCCCTTGGGCTTCTGGGAGTGACTCGCAGTCCTCTCTCCAATTCGGCGATCATAGGTAGTATCTTCTCAGGTTGCCGATGTTCCACGCTCGAGGTACCTGTTTTCCTTCTAGGTTTCGAACTCGTACGTACCTTCCCCAATTACCCGCCTTACTCGGTACAACCTTCCTAGTTCAGTCCGAGCTTACCAACGCCGGGCTCAGGTACCATAACTTTCCGAAGAACCAGGTTGCTGACACGGAAGTGTCGTCTCTTGACCCGGGCGTTATAGTACCGAACCACTCTCTGCTGGTAGGCTGCTGTCCGAATGTATGCCAGGTCCCGTACTTCTTCCACCAGTTTGAGGTTGGTACGGAGCTCATCATCGTTTGTTTCCTCGTTGTAGGCCTCCAAGCATAGTGTTGGCACCTCAATCTCTGCTGGGATCACCGCTTCCATGCCGTAGGTGAGGTTGAAGGGGGTTTCACCATGGCGGTCTTGACAGTAGTCC